TAAAATTGTGTTATTTAGGAATATTGAAGCAAATATTGGAAGAAGCAGTTAAAAGTTTTGAAAATAGGACAGGCATGATGGCTCACACCCATAATCCTAGCACTCTGGGAGGCCCAGGCAGGCAAATCCCTAGAGCTCAGGAGTTTGAGACCAGCCTAAGCAAGAGCAAGACCCCCTGTCTCTACTGAATGGAAAAATTAGCTGGGCATTGTGATGGGTACCTGTAGTCCCAGCTACTCTGGAGGCTGGAGCAGAAACATAGCTTTGAGTCCAGGAGTTCGAGGTTGCTGTGAGCTAGGCTGAGGCCATGGCACTCTACCCAGGGTAAGACTTTATCTGGAAAACAAAACAAAACAAAAAACCCTCAAAGGAGTTTTCCAGATAGCATTTGAGGTACGTACCACTAGATAGAAGTCAGTTCTCCCTTTTTGAATTTTACTCTAAACTTTTGACACTCCAAACCATTTGATTTTTTTTTTTTTTTTGAGACCTAAGTCTCACTCTATCACCCTGGGTCCGTGGCATTATAGCTCACAGCAACCTTAAACTTGGGCTTAAGTGATTCTCCTGCTGCAGCCTCCCAAGGAGCTGGGACTACAGGCACCCTCCACAATGCCTGGCAATTTCTTTTTTGTTTCTATTTCCTATTTTTAGCGGAGATGGGGGTCTTGCTCTTGCTCAGGCTGGTCTCAAATTCCTGAGCTCAAGCGATCCACCTGCCTCGGCCTCCCAGAGTGCTGGGATTACAAGTGTGAACCACCAAGCCTGGCCAGACCATTTGATTTTTAACAGACACATAAAATTCAGTATATTCTGATGTCACTAAAACCTGTGTCACTAGATTCTGTCTTTACTTTTTTTTTTAATTATTATTTGGTTTTTTTTGTAGTTTTTGGCTGGGGCTGGGTTTGAACCCACCACCTCCGGTAATGGGGCAGGTGCCCGACTCCTTTGAGCACAGGGGAGCTTCTGAAAGCTGGTGGTGAGAGGAGAGGGTTTGGGTGGGCATGGTGACTCATACCCACACCTGTTATCCTAGCACTCTGGGAGGCCAAGGTGGGCGGTTGCTTCAGGCCAGGAGTTTGAGACCAGCCTGAGCAAGAGTGAGAACCCCGTTTTATCAGTTTTACAAAAATTAGCCAGGCGTGGTGATGGGCACCAGTAGTCAGCTACTTAGGAGGCTGAGGCAGGAGGATCACTGGGGCAGAGGAGCTTGAGGTCACTTGAGCTTTGATTGCACCATGGCACTCCAACCTAGGGTGACACTGCAAGACCCTGTTCAAAAAAAACAAAAAGGAGAGATTTTTGTAGTCAGGGAGAATCTGTCATTTTTCTCCTTATGTCTTTTATCCTAAATAATCCCCAGTTTAAGTTGCTTTTGTGATGGCATTTCCAGGAGAAGTGGGTTCTGACCCACTGGCCGGCCTGTGGCCTCTCGCTCTGCTCTTCTCGGGGGACGCGGCTGAGCTGAGCAGCTTAGGCAGCCGCGCCCCCTGTTGGCCCGCTCCGAAACTGCAGTCCATTCAGGCGCCTGTGCACTGCTGTCCGGCAAAGCCCCTTTGTCCTTGAGCAATCAGAATTGCAATCTAGAAGCAGGACCATTGGTGAGAAGCAGGGGTGACCAGGAGCTCTTGAGGAAGACACTGTGGGGACTAGCTGAGGCAAGGCAGAGGTGATTCCCACCTAGGAGATGACGGAGCTGAAACTCAGGCACATCTCTGAGTGGCAGAAACTGAACTCTGGGACGCCTTTCTGAGCCCCAGCCTGGGCTCTCCCGGCTGTGCTGACTCTCTTCTGAATGCTTGGGAATGTTATTTGCAGAGTGCAGACATAAAGTGAATGCTTAAACGTCACTATACCACTCTACCTTTGTTCAGGATCATCTAAAAGGCAAATCTCAGGGCGTCAGAGAGCCCCATTCACTCTCTCACTGGCCAGTGAACTGGACCCTGCTGCGTGCCAGGCACTGTTCTATGTGTGGGCACACAGCACAGGCAGGCTGACTTCCTGCCCTCACCTTGTAGCGTGAAGTCATCAACAGTACACAAGATAAGACAGATAGGGCGGCGCCTGTGGCTCAGTGAGTAGGGCACCGGCCCCATATACCAGGGGTGGCGAGTTCAAGCCCAGCCCTGGCCAAACTGCAACAAAAAAATGGCCGGGCATTGTGGCAGGCACCTGTAGTCCCAGCTGCTCAGGAGGCTGAAGCAAGAGAATCGCCTAAGCCCAGGAGCTGGAGGTTGCTGTGAGCAGTGTGACTAAAGTATGACTAGTCACTTTAAAGTAAGACTCTGTCTCTACCAAAAAAAAAAAAAAGATAAGATGGACAAATTCTTTCCACTGAAGAGAAAACAATAAGCAGGGGGAGGGGACACAAAGTGTCGGGCTGGGATGTTGGTGTGGAGATTATAGTTAGAGTGGCCAGGGAAGTGACTTGAGAGGAGCAGCCAGCCGTGTGGACACGGAGTGCACAGCAGCCAGGCAGACGGCACAGCGCAGAGAAGCACAGAGGAGGGGACATTTCTGGGTTGGCAAACAGAGAGGAGGCCGGCATGGTGTGGCTGAGTGGCCGCTGGGGAGGACGTTAGGGAGAGAGGCTGCAGCATCAAGGGTGTA